TGTTCAATCAATCAATTAAATTTATCTAATGAATGTGATTTCTAAACTTCAACAGCACCCAACTAAAATTTGAAAAATAAACCATTTCTAGGTAGAAAAAAGAAAGAAAATGAAACATGAATATCAGGTAAATAAGTAAAATGAGCAATTGAGAAAAAATTCTGATATCTGTAAAGTGTAACTGTAAAGACTGAAGAGATTTGAAATTATGAAAAATAACAATTAAATCTTTAAAAAAGGAATTAAAACATAAAAAATGTAAAAGTGTTAATGTGAAATTTATTAGATTTTTTACTTTCGCAAACTTAGCAAATTTAAATCACACAAACCTCTCAAATGACGCTGAATTTCTTCTGATTCTGCCATACTTGTAAATAAAACTAATTTTCTCGATCGGAAAGAAGTTAACTTTTGCTCAACTCAATAATCACAAAAAGAAAGTGGAAACGATAGACCAAAGATACAATAATATTACAGCGATATAAAATACACCGATTATTAACTAGTTAAAATGTTCGTTTAAGAATAAAAAAAAATACAGAAATAAATTATTTATAATAAAATTTGAAAATTTCAACCCAACCCAACCCACACTTTAAAAAATTTGGACCCAACCCAACCCAACCCATGGGTTAACCCAACCCATGTCCACCCCTGCTTTTGATAAAACTGCATGTTGATAGAAAACGCTTTAGTTAAGTTAAAACGTCTTAATGTTGTATATGATGATTTTTTTTATTAACTCATAATAGTGGTTTGCATTCTGTACATCATTGAAATGATTTTCCATGCTAAATAAATCTTTGTTGACACATTGTGGGAGTATGTTGCTTTCAATTACAAGTTTTTCTTAAAACAATAATCATTTATTTTTAATAATCTTTCTGATTCTTGGCAGATCTGAAAATCATTAAAATTTATTGCTTTTACCAGAAAATAAATAAATGTATCATTTTACTTTTAATACTTCTTTTGAGGGATATGTCAATTGTCCGTTGTCTTTTAGTATGATGAGATGATTTGATGATTCGCTAAATATGTTTCTGCTCGCTGAAATCAAGCATTTTCTGCATATTTGTAGTTTAGATATTGAAATATATATAAAAAAGAACCTTTGAGTTTTGTAAATGTTAACATCATCTAAATTTTTCAAACTTAGTAAGTAGGCTTTCATTTCATAAAGTTTATCTATAGTGGCTGTCAGGTTGCTCTATATAATGTATTGCTTCCATTCTATATCTAGCATCAGTTTGCTTTCTATATATAGAAAAGATCATTGATGTTTTTCACAAAAGCTATTGTTTCACAAACGTCAGAAAAAACATCAAATCCGTTTAAGAGTTCCAGTGATTTAGCCACAGAGCAGTTAAAGATATGAGTTAAGATGCATATTTAACTTTCATCTTATGCTTTTCAAAATTTACATGATTTTTGGTTAATTTATTTTTTAATTTCATTTTGATTTGTTGTTGATAATTAACTAAATTTACGATATGATTCCATTTGATTGGATTATTATTATAAAATATTATATTATAAGAATGAAACATATTCCTTATTAATTTCAGCATGTGGCATGCATCAAATATGATATATATTTTCTGGCCGGTTGTTGGCCGAAACGTTAGTGGCCAACCCATCCATTACCAGTGAAACAACCCTAAAAAATAAATATAATGTATAAAAATTTTAACATAATTTTAAGAAAAACAAATGTTGTTTATCCTAACTCCGGCATTATGTAACTTATCAACGTCTTTCTTTATAAAATCTTTCAACTTGTGAGATGACAATTTTTTGGTATAAAAATAAGCTATTTAATGCCTCCAAGCTTCTTTCAGACCAACAACCTAAAAAATCAACACCTCTGAAGCACCTCTGTCCTCATTCCCATCTCCATAGTTAACATATCCAATAAAGTCATCTTCACAAATAAACAATGCGTTTGATAATTTATGCTTAACATTTAACATCAATAAAATTAAAAAAATTGAAGACAAATGCTTATAGTGAAATGGGAAACAAAAAAATCAAGAAATAAATAAAATACACCAGGAATAAACTAGCATATGCTACCAAAATATGCTATATTTTAAACTCACAAATTTACAAACAAAATATATTTTAAAAACCTACCAATTTTCCTATTATACGTTATTGAGGCTTATGATATCGAATCAAGGATTAAGAGCATTTGCAATATTTCATTTGCAGTACATATTTCTTTATATAGCAATATTAGTTTACAGAATATCATTATTAACAAAATTTTACTTGTTCAATGTTCTCGAATGTGGCAGTGTTAGTCCACTTTGATTGCCTTTGCTGTTGCTTGATCCATTGAGCAAAACGTCTAAATATGATTTAAATTTGAAAGTAAATAGCTGCATTTAAAATTTTTCATCATATATATATATATATATATATATATATATATATATATATATTATATATTATATATATATATACCCAATAAATTAAAATAAAAAAACTCTTTGTATTCTGCATTTCTTATGACAAAAAGCCATTTTACAAAGGCATCCTAATAATAATAATAAACCCATAATATAAAAACAATATAAAAACATTTGAGCATTAATTAATTAACGATAGTTAAAAAATTAAAAAGTCAAAAATTTAAAATAAAAATACAAAAAAGCAAAGCCTCTTTTCTTCTACTAGTCAGGGCCTAGGTCTCCTGGCACAATGTAACATTTTTGAAACTTTTAATTAATTTAAACAAATGAACTTTATAAAATCAAAATGGATCAAATAACAAATGATTCCAAAAATTTTACATAATTCAGTTAAATTATTAAGTTAAAAATCGATTAAAACTGCCGTAGAATGATTTTAGCGGTAAAAAAATGTTTACAAGAATGCCGCCAGTAGCACGTTAACAGGAAAGAAGCTAAATATAAATTGGAAAACTGAAAAACCCATTGACAATTTGGTGCTAAAAAAGTTTGCTTCCAAGTTTCCTGACCTTGAGAAGAAGGTCAACACTATAAAGCCATTCTTATATATAATTCAATGGGTACAGCTCCCTTCTCTGTACCTACATTACTACTCCACTGATAGCAAATGCGGGTTGACGTTCGCATTTGATGAATTTATGAAAAGTTACTATGTAAGTTACGCCTATGTTTGGGATTAACAGGCTAAAGTTGGTGTAATGTTATAACCGCGCGCGGGAATGACCAAAGTGTTTCAAAATTGTAGTTTTGAATTAATGAAATATAAAAATTAAATTGGCATTCTTTCTCTTTGTTGGACCCATTATTAACGCCTATATTATTTTTTATTAATTCGATAGAGTATTATTTTCACTGTTCATTTGTAGGATATTTAAACCACCTAGCTGTTTTTTATGGTTAGAGTCAGAATAGTTAAATATTTCATATAAATAGCGAAATGTAGTGATTAGCTTGTTTGTGAAACGTTAGTCAAAGTGTCTTTTTCAGAAGTTCTGTACATTTTTTACATTGCTTAACAATTTATAATGAAGTTAAAAATAATTTTATATGAGATGTGAATTTTTTCAACTAAACACACAAATTAAAGTTTGTTTTGTCAATCGTTCTACTACTGAGGTTAAAATATTATTTCATTTTGTCATAATGTTTATAACGTTATTTCACAAATTTCAATTAGGTTGTTTAAGTTTCAGAAACAAATTTGCCAAATAATTGCCGCGACGATATCAAAATTTTATCACGTTAGGTTCTAAATATTATTTTCATTGATTTAATTATTTTTAGCGATTCGACATTTAACTGTGGTTATAACTGTGAGGGTTGCACCAAACAGTTAAAAGATCTCCTCTTCCATCTATTCAATGCCAACCTGTCTAGATGAAATATTCAACAATGTGAAATCTTTATCCAACTCATCTAGTTTGGACCACTATAAGTTTTCAAATCTTAAAAAATCTTAAAATATATAAATAATTCAATTTGTCATGTACATTATTTAATTTATCACTCTCGACCGGAACTTTTCCAGATTGTCTTAAGACTGTGGTTCCAATTCATAAATCTAACTCACCTAATAATGTTAACAATTATTGTTGTTTCTCAAAGGAGTTAGAGAAGGTTGTCGAGATAAGACTGGAGTCATTTATGAGTGCCAATAATATTTTAACAAATAACCAATTTGGGTTTCTCAAGAATTTTTCGACTGAGGATGCAGTTATGAAACTTTTTAATGAAATCGTTTTTAAATATGATGCTGGTCATGTTGTCTCTACCGTGGTTTTGAATTTCTCAAAAGCGTTCGATTCCGTTCCACATGATGTACTTTTGCTGAAATTGGAACATTACGGAATCAGAGGGCATGCTTTGAAATGGTTTCGTAGTTACCTTACAAATAGATTTCAGTAAGTATCAATAAATCATTGTAAATCAGATACTCATCTAGTAAGTGGGGTACCACAGGGAAATATTCTGGGCCCAAAAATTATTCATACTTTTTATCAATGATATCATCAATACAACCAAAATCTCTAATTTCAGTAGATGACATAACATTGGTCATCATTTCTAGAGACATAAAGAATTTGAATGTTTCTACAAACATTTGTTTAGATAAATTGCACACTTGGTCTATTTATAATAAAATTAATATGAATATAAAAAAAACTAAGTATATAGTTTTTAATGATTTAAATCGAGATGGTAATGAATTGTTTTAAAATTAGGTAATAGCATATTCGACAAAGTTGAAGAATTTGAATTATCAGAAGTTGTGATAGATAAGAAATTCAATTTTTAAAAAAATATTGAGTTTATTTTGCAAAAAATAAACAGAAATCTGAGGATAATGAACAGATTAAAATATTGTCAGAATTATGAATTAATACTGACTAAAAATACTTCAAAAAGTTTTCAACGCAAAATTTATTCACTCGATAGGGGGCATGGTGCAAGTTAATTTACTCGATAGGTGATTGTTTTGCAATTTAGATGACGTCATAAATTATTACAAATTATTTTTAAAATTTAATTAGTAGTTTTTTCCAAGATCTCCATCATAAAGTCTTCTTCATCAATTAACCTCTGCAACAAGTGCCGATATTTTAAGATATATTCTCCATCTATTACAATCAACTGTTCATCATCCTGTTGGAAAAAACAAGGCAGATGACGATCTTTCAAAAATGTAACTAAAGAATTCAACCAATCTATCAACATCAACCCTAATCTTTTTTTTGACCGGCACTCATCCTGGTGTTTCGACAATGTCTTTAATACAGTAATTTTGAAATAATAAGATAAGCTTTTTTCAAATGGCTTGTAATAATCATTAATAAACTTGAAAACATGTAAAATCTTTTTATGGTCCTGTTTTTCAGGAGTGAATTGAAAAATTAGTTCTGTTTCATTAATGCTGTAAGTTTTTCTCCACGAAAAAAGATCTTTACCCCAGATGAACGAGCGCCCAAATTTATCATAGTGATTACATACGTAAAATTCATTGTCCACTTTCAATGTAGGACATATATCTATTGAGAATTCCAAAACTCCAACATCTACACCTTGCTGGAGTTGTAAAATTTCATTGTTTATTTAACAAATTTTGAAAATAAATTGATATTATAAAAAAGACTCATGTTACCGCCATCAAAGCACAAGCTCAAGCACCGCTAGGCACTTTCAATCTAATCACCAATTCAATCAACAATCCAATCAACAATCTAAGCAACTTCAATCCAACCACCAATCCAATCACCAATACAATCACCAACCAAATCACCGATCCAATCACCAATCCAATCACCAATAGACAGTTTGCTCGTCGTTAACCTAATTTCATTATTTCTTCAAAATGTTATTTCTTCGTTTATTTTCCCTTCTTTTTATTTTTTTAATGACGTCTCATCAGCACCACAAATTTGATTCCAATTTTGTTTTTTATCATTTTATTTAAATAAATTTACTAATACTGAATTTCTCTTTTTTTCACTTATTAACTATTTGTGCAGTTTGTCACACGTTTCAGCATAGGACAGAAATAAATTTCAAAGACTAAAAAAATAACCTGTATTGAGACTTTCATTAGAATGCTTTGGCCACGAAGTTCTGTTTTTATGTTCCAATGCTCTCGATCATATTCACCGCAGCACATATCAATCTTTTCTTTAAAGTACTTCAACAGAAAGGATGGTATTAAGTAACGATTATGATCATCCTTGTCAGTTACTGTTGGTATTGGTATGCTTTTTCCAGATTTTACCATCATAAAACAGAGGTCGGCAATAGGAGATGGTATTTTCTAATTGTATTTAGTAATTTGAAAAACTCATGTTAAAGAATATCAATGAAATAAGAATATTTTTATAGCCTAATAGTATAATATAATATAAATTATGAATTTGTTGTATAATGCAGTAGTTTTGTAACCTCAACAGTTCCAATCACGTTATAAACAAGCATGACATCAAATTCTCTTTCACACTTTTCCGATGGAAAATCTTCGGAAGCTCTTCCGAAAAATTCCGGAGTTACTTCAATATTATTTGTTTTTAATTTTTCAACAATGTCTCCTATAATGCTGCGACATTTTTGTCTAGCTTCATCCAGTCGATCTGGGCAAATGGCGTTCATACTTGCACATTTCTCTATCCCAGTTATGAAGCGCGAACTTACATGCCAGCTTTTAAGTTCTGAAATTTCAATCATTATGTTTATTAATATTCACATGTACAGATAAATACGTGACTGATAAATCATTGTTAAGACTACTTACTCTTCGTGGATTGCACAACAAAATCCTCCTTATCATTCTCCGGTTGAAAATGACAACTGCTATAATTTTTAGGTCCGGTTATTAATTTTTGCAAAAAATCCTTCAATTCGGAACCAAAATAATTTTTCAACCAAAGATCATTATAAGTAAATTTTTGTAATACTTTTTGAAATTTTTTTTCTAAATAATAAAACGCCATTTCAAATAATATTGGGTGTTCGTTTTTCATTTTTTTGAGATCTGGAGGAGAAAGCGGCTCTTTTTTTGAATGGTCTGGAGGAGAAAGCGGCTCTTTTTTTGAATGGTCTGGAGGAGAAAGCGGCTCTTTTTTTGAATGGTCATTGTCATCTATTTCCCAATAAAATTTTAGATTTCTAATTGGGATGAAGTATCCTTTACATCGGAGTGTTAAAGCGAGATAAATTTCTACTGAGAATTCCACATGTGTTTCTTTCTTTGAAAATGAATTGTTTAATTATTTATGAAATTTTGAAAATAAATTGATGTTATAAAAAATGAACCACCATTTTGACAGTCATTTTAAAGGTTGGATCTTTAGATATATTTGTTTTTATACTGGAGTTGTTTCGTTCAAAGATAACAACACAACCTTCAATCTTTTCCATAAAATTTTTTGCAAGGGCTGATGCAGATAGATAACGACCATCACTATTTTTGATTAGAAAAGTTCGATTGTTTGTAGTCAATTCTTCCTATTGATATATTACATGATTATGTTAATTGAATTAAATATTATATCCATGTTAATAATTAAACTATTTTATTTCGGTTCAAAGTAATGAAAACAAAAGTTCAACCTAACTTGATTATTACTTTCAACCAAAAATTTAGATAAATAACTGTTATTATTCTCGGGAGATAAATGTACACAATTATATTCATACGTCTCCAATTCAATCTCCATGGGTTCAATTTCATCATTCGTCTGTAGTGGGATTAAACATTTGGACGGGCTTAGCGTAACAAACAAAATTGCTTCAGTTTGAAATCATTTTTTGTTTATGTATTTATAATATAACAATTTTTATATACAATTATATTTATCAAATTCATAAAAATTATGTATTTATATTTGTAATTATAAATAGTTAATTTATATAAAGTTGATGAATTGTTAAATATTGTTAAAGCTTTTAACTCGGCTGCTCGTCTACTTGCCCGTGCTCTTAAAAACAATGTGACAATAACTTATTCAAAGACATAAACAACACGATATTCAACATTGATAATGGAAATATTAATTAAAGACGAAAAAATATAATAATATCAAATAAAATATAAAAATGCACATATAATTAACTGGGCAAACAAACCATATATAAAAATATATTTATTTTGTTACAATGATTAAATTGAATATATTTCTTCTGGCAAAAATCACAGCAAAATACCAATGTATGTGTTGATGACAACCTTAACTACTATCGTGCAATGAAATGTACGACAACAAGCAAACAAATAAAAAAATTTAAAAAGAGAGAAGTTTGGGAAAATAATCTCCAAGTCACATCTCTAAATCGAATTCGGCATCAGAGCTACTAAACTATGTTAGTTGGTTACATTCAGCCAAGAAATGTGTCACGAAATGTGTCATGTGTCTGGTGACGAAGAATATTTTCTTGACGAAATGCCTAAAGCAGCCACTTTCGCCACAAAGGCTGCTTATTCTTCTCACACGACGTGCAAATGTACTTATTTGTATGCTGAGTATATGATAGCCATTGAGATGTTTGACTCAGCGAGCATTCGAACCACTGAGCCTCCTCGCCGGCCAACATGCGACAACTTACGTCGTCTACCCATTTACCAGCCTCGAAAGGATGGACGGCTTGGTTGGCCGGGGGTCGGCTACCCGGATAAGCCTGTAGAAACTGCAAGATTCGAACCCGGGTTGTGGGAGTGGTAGACGAACAATTTAACCGCTCGGCCACGAGACTATAAGCCAAGGCTGAATTGTTTTTTAAATTCATGAAGAAACTTACACCTCTCAGTCAGAGAATCTGAGGCGACATCTACTGCTCTGGCAATAAGCTTCAGTTAGATATGTATTCGCTTTTTTTTTATAACTTTTCAGCGGTTCATGAATGTTATATGCTTGGACCAGAGGCTGGCGTCTGTCGTTGGACCTCCTCGCCACGCCCATAATTAAAAATATTTGAATTTTTTAAAACTTCACAAATTAAAAAATAGAAAATAAATTTGTAAATAAAAGTTCTTTAACTGGATAATTTTTCTAACCTCAAGCTTTAGGTTTTCGCTCATTACAAGCATGATTTTTAAAAGTTTGTTGCATTGCTTTTCATCTTCTCCATGTCCCATAAATCTTGGCCATACGTAAATATCTTCTCTTTCTAATATTTTAATAATTTCATCAATCATACGATACGTTGTAATTATTTTTTCCCCGTGTTCTTGAAATAGTTTGAAGTGATCATTTGAATGTTTATTCAATGTGTCATTGAAGGTCGGACCTGGAGGCAACGATCAAAACTATCAAATAAATTGTATAAAAAATAAATAATTTTGTTTTGAATATATTTAATTAATGCAAACAATTAATTAAAAGTAAATTAAATTATTGACTAACAATTTTCAGCCATTTCAATGTTTTTCTCAATAGAATTATTATTTATAAGGCCCCGGTATTTTCAATCGTTAAAAGTATGTTAATATATTTTTACAAATTTCAAAAATAAACCATTTTAAATTTAAATTCTTTCTAAGTAAGAACTAAGCTTTGGCTATGCTGAAGGGCATTTATAAGTTCCATTCAAGTGTTGGATTAGTTAGCCCTTAACAGATTAGGTTGAATTATAACGTATAATCTGAATTATAATAATAATTCATATATATACAAGTGGTTTTTTTTCTCGATTTGATAAAAACATGATTCAAAAGAAATAATCATGAATCATACACTTGGTAAAAAAAACCGTAATAAAATTTCAAATACTGTATTTGATTAATTGATTGATTGATTGATTGATTGATTGATTGATTGATTGGTTGGTTAATTAATTGATTGATTGATTGATGATATATAATTATTTATCGTGCTACAACCGGGTTCGATTCCGGTAGAAACCGGAACCTTTTTTGCTTATTTTTTATATGAATTTGATTATTCATCATTATAAGACATGCATGCTTCATAGTGAAAGCACTTGAAGTTAACGTGTGTTTGTGTGTATATATACATAAATATATAAATATATATATATATATATATAAGTATTATGTGTGTGTGTTTGTTTGTGTGTGTTTGAGGTAGTAGTTGATGAAGTGGCGAAAGTTGTAGTTGCAGTAGCAAAAGTTTACACGGTTTTCATGTACAAATCCTTGTAAAACGTTGTTATCAAAGAACCCTTAAAATAAAGTAAAGTGAATTTTTCCGTTCCTACACCCTGTTGTTCTGAGTGGTCACCTCTATCACCCCACCCCCGGTACGCCACTGTTATCATCATCATCCTCATCATCATCATATCATTATCATCATTGCCGTTTTAGTTTATGCTATTTTGTTTGTCAGTTGTTTTACCCACATCCGACCTTCCTTATCATTAGCAACTTGCACTGAATTCGCTGCATTGTCTTGAAACTGACGGTTGTTTTAATCACCAGCCAGCTAATTAATGAACACAGGCGTGCAGGCTGAGATAAATGTTTGGTGGGAATATGTACATCAAATTTTTAAAACTTCATTCAACGAAGTACCAACAAATGGTTTGTCTTTTACTGACGGTCATATGCGCTTCACGTATTGTTCGAAAGATGTTTCTTAAAGCCATTTCTTAGTATAAGAAGCAGAGGGAGTTACAAAGTTTTGTAAAATTAAACACGAATCATACAAGTATTAACAATATTTTGAAAGATATTTCGAAAAAATTGAAATAACTAATTTTAATTAATAGGTTGAAATTTATTGTTAAAATATGAAGTGGTCCATAATTTGTTTTATGGTGATCACATCATCATCAGTCAACTCGGTAGCATCAGTAGCTGGTAAGAAATATAGAACGAAAGGAGAGCCAGACAGTCCCAGGTGCTTTTTTTCCGAACCTACCACCGTACTAACCAACATAAGATCTGTTTTGGAATGTTCTATTGAATGTGTTAACAACACCACGTGCAACGCATTCAACTACATATCCAACAATGCCAGACACCCAGCTAAATATTGCCAACTGTTTCATTTCACTTGCGATGTTCATTACAAGATTGTTTTGAACGAATCTTATTGCCTAGCTTACGAAGTCAGTTCATTTTTAATTTAAAAAAAAATTGTTTGTTTTAATTAAACTTATATTATATTCAATAACAAAAAAAACATAGGACGTTGCAGCTAAAGAAGCATTAAGTTAGTCGATGTTTTTTTGTATAATCGCAATCTAATTAGCGTTAATTCTCTCAACCAGCACCACTGAACGGCAGTCCAACTCCGCCAATTTGTTAGTTTTGTTTTTTTTATTATTATTTTGTAATATTAAACTGGGGATTTATAACCGACGTCATATTTTCAAATCTGCAAATAAAATTCACTAGCTTTTTACAATTAATTTATTATAAAAAAAAACAACATTTATAATTTTTAAATAGATTCTATATCTTTTTACAATTTATTAAAACCTAATGAAAATCAGGCTAAAGTTCTAAATTGTTAACAAATAATTTGATTTTTTAGGTTAAATTTACTTTAAATTTCATATAACAAACAATACAAATAAAAATAATAAAAAAAAATCCTTTCACATATTCAACTTTTTTATTCAACCGTTCAACGAAAGAAGCGTTTTCTGCAAATTTACTCACCGCAATTATTAAAAAAGTTTGAAATATATTTTCCAGATCAATTTTTAACTTAGTGGATTTTCTCTCACCAACCTGGTTTGAACGCTGCAAAAATCACTATCCCTTCAATGCCTCTAGCTTATAACACTTATATTAAGGCACATGGAGGAATAACAAATTTATGTAACATCGGAAAAAAAACTGCAAGCGTTAGATAAGAAGCATTTACTTTTAGAGGCCTACAAACCGATCAATTTTCACTGTTTTTTATTTTTGGTAACATTTTTAATATTAGGAAGGAAAAAAACTGGATATAGCTAAACGAAAGCATCAAATTTCATAAAATAATGTTGTTTGATGTGAAAATAAGAAGAGTAGGCAATGAAGAGGTTTTCAAGGGCTGCCATGATTAACTTGAACAATAACTTTGTTTTAAATGAAAACCCCTCACAATAGAACATTGAAATTTGTAATTAATAATTGTACGCAATTGAGTATAGGATAACATTTAAGCGGACTTTTGAATCGATGTTTTTTTTACATTGGAGTTTAGTTTTATTTATAGGAAAAAAATAATGACAATTGATGTGAAGAAATGTATAATGCTTTCTAACCAGATAATTTATGCCAAAAACTTAGTAAAAGATTTTTTATTAACTAACAAAATCGGTTTGCCAGTAACTAATAACTCGCTGACCCTGAGCAAATCCTGCAACTTTCCATTCACCTTCAACGGTGGATTGTTCTACTCTTGTTCCAACTCACTACCTGGCATCAGCAATCCTTGTGCTCTCTACATGTGTCTCACTGGTAGCAGGCAGTTGTTGTCCATCTGTCTTGACCCTCGAGGTGTTGATCTATTATATTGATTATAGACTTTATTAGTCAAATTTGTCAGATTTTTTTTTAGTCTTTATTTTCATACGCAGAACCATTTACAATGTTGCATATATAGATTATGTTCTTCATATCTTCAGCCATTGATTTGAAGCGGCCATCTTTGCCACAAAGGCTGCTTATCCTTTTTGCACAACGTACACATGTATTTATGTGCACGCGCAAGCACCGCTTCATATATGCTGAGTATATGATAGCCATTGAGATGTTTGACTCAGTGAGCATTCGAACCACTGAGCCACCTCGCCGGCCAACATGCGACAACTTACGTCGTCTACCCATTTACCAGCCTCGAAAGGATAGACGGCTAGGCTGGCCGGGGGTCGGCAACCCGGATAAACCTGTAAAAATTACAGGATTCGAATCCGGGTCGTAGGAGTGGTAGACGGACACGCTAACCACTCGACCCAAAGACCCACAATTTTTCTTACGAGTGATTAAACTGAATTTTGTAAAATATTTTTCTCGTTTGAATAATTGGACAAAAATATTTATAATTTCAACGCATGAAAGTATACGTTGCTGCAAACGAAACAATTTTGTTGAAAATTCCAACGTTTGCTAACTCAACTCCTGTTACGTCTGTCAATGGATGGATTGTCATTCAGCAGAGGGTTGATGGCTCCCTGAGTTTCAATCAATCCTGGAATGCGTACAAGGTATTTTTTGAAGTTTTTTAAACATACTCATGACATGAATATGCGGCGTGATGGCTCAATGGTTAGAGGCGCCTGGTTCAGCTGATGCAGTAACAGGGTTCGAATACAAATAGATTCCAGTCTATTATATGCAATGTGTGTGATGCGTGATTTTCATATGCGTTGTGTGTGTTTGTCCTTGATACTTCAAAAGCAAAAGAGAGATTGACCTTGAACCTTTAAAATTAATTATTGTTAGACAGGATTTGGAACTCACTATAAAAACTTCTGGTTGGGCCTGGAGAAGATGCACCAATTAACGACATCGGCTGATTACAGCTTGAGATTCGAAGTTCTAATCAATGGAGTTTGGTACTCTGATGAATACGATCATTTCAAGGTTAGCTACTTTGCAACGTACAAATCACCGAAGTGAATACTAATTGAAATGATAGAATATTATTTTTTTATTTATTGAAACATTTTTGAATCGATTTTTAATTTTTTTTCAACTTTCTCATGTTTAAAAATTAATTTGGTTTACTTGTTGATCCATAAACTTTTGTTGAAAATGATTTTATTTAATAAACATAACATTTGTAAATAATCTAGATAAATTCCGAACCTGAAAAATATTCTCTCAACGTATCTGGATACAGCGGAAGTAAGGATGACATTCTGAACTATCAAACTGCCTACTTCCACAACGGCATGAAGTTCTCCACACCCGACCAGGATAACGACCAATATGTCAACCACAGTTGTGCTTTGAAGTATTCATCAGGCAATTGGTTCAACAAGTGCTATTATCAAAACCTAAATGGTCCGTACGGTTCCGTTGATTTCCGTTATGCATTCCTACCCGCCACTTGTAGCAGGATGATGATTAAGCGTGACGTGTGAGGAGCTTATTTCAACATGCTATCCACATCATATCTTCAACTCTTCCAAATTATTTCATTACTAGTAGTAGTACTTTGTTAATTACTAACTTTTCTAATTAACTTAACTTTTTTAATTTTCAATATTTTTTTATTTTAAAACTTTTTCAATGACATTTTTTGTTGGCTGTTGGACGTTGATGTGCAGTAATAACGTTTATGTTTGTTCACGTTGTCAAGTAACTTGAAGGCGCTCCAGAAAGAGCAAGGAATTGATTATATTTCTAGTAACATAAGCAACGAATGCAGTTACATTTTCAACATTCAGAGCGTTAAATAAACATTTCATGTGCTTTACGTGGTTTTATAATATCTTAGCGTGTTTCGTCGGGTTCATTACAAACATTATTAGATTAAAACGTTTAAATTAGTATATTATTTCATTATTTTTCAGTTTAATTATCTTCCTTATATATCATCTTTTTGGATTAGTGAATATTGATTAAAACGACTGTATCAGTGTATACATATTTTTTATTAACATTTTAAATAATTATGGAATGCCATGTGGCCGGGAATCTCTGCAGACGTAAAAATTTTATAATTAATTAAGTGATTAAGTGCTTACTTAATTACTTAATTATTTAATTCTAGTTTCATTACAATCGGCCAATACAATTCAACCGAAATTTGAGAGCCGTGATCATACTTGGAAGCACCTACAACACTCCTAGCTGAAAGAAAGAAGAAAGAAAAAAGGAAGAAGGAAAGAATGAAAGAAAAAAAGAAAAAAAAGAAGCTATATGATCATAAAACATCAAAGTAGCAAATGAAATTTTAAATCAAATAAATTTTTAGAAATTTGGATCAAACTTGGACAGCACGATTTTAAATTAACTGAATTTTTTTTATAAATTTCGCTGGCAGACCAAAACACAAACAATTGCAGAAATCGAAACGTGAACGAACAAATGCATGCACCAAACATCTTTATGGAGAGATCTTCTAATAAGTATTGAAATACGAGGCTAAAGTACACAAGCGAATCTTAATTAATTTCATACTTAAGATCAACTTCAAATTTTATAATATATAGGGTGATATATGCACTTGAATTGTGATAAACGAACTGTATGTATATATATTTGATTCGGGTATGTGTGCAGATACGAATGTTATGTGGAAAGTCTAGCTGTGAAAGTAGTGGAGAGCCGTACCACAGGTGTGCAGGCGGGCACGTTGTTCGTTGTTGTTTTAGTTGAGCCAGTTGAATGTTAGTGTTGTCACTTTGAAATTAATGTTGTGAATTTGTTTGATCAACGTTATAGCTGTGATTTGCGTTGAATGTATTGCGTTATGTTGGTTGCTTTATTTAGCGTTATATAGTCATAAATGAACGTTAAAAATTTGAGTTATTAACATTTTAGACATTGGCTACTTTCAATATTATATAACTTTGTGTTTGGCTGTTCAGTTTCAAGAGTAAGTGAAATTTGAAAATCAATCAGTCTTGTTGTTTTTTATATACAATTTGAGAGAGAAACCTGACAATTATATATTATTTTATCGATTATTTATGATAATTATTTTATATATTTATCAATATTGTTTATAAAATAAAATATTTCAAATTCTAACACGCTCTAAAAGTTTTGATGAAATTTAATTTTAGTCTGTTTTAGTTAATAATGTTTTAATTGCATTTTAAATTTTATTAGAAATCAGATTTGATAACTAATTTATTAATTGAATTTAATTGATAATTTATTCGTCATTATTAATTATAAAAATTTCAATAAACGGTAGAATGTGGTGACCTCTAAAAATACTAACACTTCGTGTTCTTTCGGTTTTCTGGGGATATTTTTCAAAGTCTATTTTTAGTCATAAATATAGTTTTAATTTGCGTAGTTTATTAAGTGCCTAATTTAGGTAGACCGAAAATAGTAGTTTGGTGTTATCTGGACAATGTCAGAGGCGTAACCATGGAGGGGTTCCTTGGCGGTGAAGCTCCCCAGTCACTAAAATTGACAAACAGAATTTTTTCTCTGAGTGTAGCAACACATTGGTCGAACTTTTTAATCCACCAATGTTGCTTCATAAATGCTTCAATGTTGCCGACCTATACATATACAGGTCTTGCGTCAAATTCTGTTTTGGCAACCATTTCAACTGTTGATGTTTTCCCATCGTTTAAATCTTCTCTCATTATTTCCATCACCGCATTTTTTAAATCCAGGCTTACGTTTTTAGTGCTACCAACTGCAACGTCCACAAGTTTATATATTGATGAAATTTTTCATTTTGTGGAGGTCCTACTTTGCGGTTGCCCTGTTGTTGGGAAATTCCCTATTTGTGGAGAATTTAAACATAATGATATTTCTATTGATGTAGGGAAAAAAGTTAAATTATTGTTAAAGTACGAAAAAAAAAATCTTTTCAACAGTATTTTAGAACACACGCACACACACAAATTGTTCCCGTTGTTGCTAAGTATCTCATCATAAATTAGAACGGAAGTTCTCTCCAATCAAACCTTCTAACTTTCTAGCAATTATAATTTCAACAGTCTTTCGAAATGTCTGGGACAGCTGTAGAGCAAATTATAAAAATAAATTTAGGTCTCGTTCCAAAACAGACCTGTTACATACGGCAGCTTGTACTTTCTGATGTTGGTAGTAGCAAGGTAAAACACGTCTGTGTGGATGATGTTTCCTTCAAAATAGGCATTTTTGTAAGGTGAGGTTTTTGTTATGCTTTCAGTTGGTAGACTGGAATAGAACATGTTTTGTAGAGATTCCATTAATTGATATTGCCTCTGGAGTGGAATTAATTTGAAACTTTCTACCCATTCTACTTTATTAATTCTTTCTCTTTCAGACGCCAGGTATAATGCAAATTCATTCATGTCCTTGTTGCTCAGGCGATGATCGTCGAAGTTATCACTTAGATATTTTATGTACAATTTTTTTCGTTTGCGAATTAACTTTTTTAGAAAAACTTTTATATACTCCAAAGTGACATGATCTTGTGTGAATGTGTCGGCATCTATCAAATCAATTGTCACTTCAGACATTTTGAGCGAGCGAGTATTCAAAAGAATTTTAACTGTATGAACAAGTTTGTTGAACACTCCTTGCTTTTTATAAGGTGTTCCATCTATTAATAAATAAAAGATAGTACCTCCTACATATCAAACAAAGCAATATTTGACTAGTTTTACTGATAAACCTTTGCTCAATTGATGTTCGGTAACTAATTTCTCGTTCTAATTTAATTACCAGTCAACAAGTGGCTCGAAAAGTATTGAATCGATCTGATAATTAACAAAGAACAATCAAACAAATTAGCATTAAACACAATTAAATGCGAGTGCATGCGTGTGTGTGTGCATACGTGTGTTACAGTGTGTATAGTAGTAGCAGTAGTAAAAGAAGTGGGAACAGTGATCCAACAATAAAATTACATATAGGCAACTACAACAACATTTGCATTTTCAAAAACCATAGTTCATTCGTAGTGAATTTGATTAATGGTTGACTAATGCATTACTAGCGACTATAAAATTTTGGAACTGGGAAATTTCTTATTGGCGCTACTTAATCAAAAATATTCAAATTCTTAATTCAAAACTAAGTTCAATTTCTCAACATTGCGACAAACATGCTAACAATAAAAAAACAAATTACAACAATACATTTAATCTGGTCATATAAAAAAGTAAATTTTCAAAAATTGGTAACAAAATCATGTTTGCAAACAATAAAAGAAGCCACTTAAACAAATATTTCAATTATATTTGTTTAAAAAATGAATTGTAAAAAAGGTGGTAAACTTCATTAGATGTCAACTTTTCTGGCTCATTGATTGTATCTTCAAAATTTCAACCATTCATTTCATTTTCTTCAATACACGGCAATGCCAAGTTGCACAATCGCTGTTGATTCATTGTAGCTCTTAAGTAATTTAGTATTAATTTCAACTTACTGAATGATCGCTCACAAGTAAAAATGGACACCCTTATAGTTAGTAAAGTTTGAAGAGCAACTCGTAAATTGGAAAAACGCTTTGGCCTCCGTATTTAATTATAAATTTAAGAAGATTTTCTGATATTAAAATTTTTGTTTCACGTGTGTTTAGTACCATTCTACAATCACATATTTTGAGATATAATTCATTATATTCTTAAAAATTTTAGAACTCCGCTAAATAAAAACATTGTATTTTCAAAATAGCATTTTTTATTTTCTAAAAAAATTTTCAAATTTTTGATCCGCTTCATTTAATTGTGCAACGTATCAAATCAAACAATCATTGTATTAACTATTATTAACGTTCAGTCGTACGGTTTTACTTCGAAAGTTCTTCATAGAGTTCGTATATAAATTCGTACGTTCCTTTGATTGTACTTTAGATTTAGTATTTAACTGGCATTTTTTATTGGTATTGGCCGTAGGATTGTGTCGTTGAGTGTCAGCGCGTGCTCCAAAAAGCCGGCGTCAACAATCTCAACTTAGGCGAGACCCTCAGGTTGGAAAACCTTTAGGTTTGCGATATACTTATCGTTCAGAATTGTGGTTCTGACGACGGCCCCGCAATTTTAAAAAGCTCTTCCAACAGATGAATCAATTAACGATCATTCAATTAGTTATTACAACATTTAATAAGTTGAATTTTGTCGTAGCCACTTTAGTTGAAGCAGCAATGGTTGCGATTGACTTTGCAGTACGAACAGTTGGTGTAGGTTTCAAAGGTTGTAATTAAATTTCTTGCCACAGCGTTCAATGGTTTACACGGAAAAGAAAAAAAGTTTTGTGCTGAATCAATCTGAAACAGCAGACCGTTGTGAATGTGGGTGAACGTTCTTGAAGCAACTGAACGTATTTCGAAGGTATGAGAAAATTCATTTACTCATAACAGTTTTTGAGATTATTTTCTTAACACAAGAAAAACATGCCAATTAAATTCCCCGTCTTATCTTAGACCTTTGATTTTAATTGGTTGTTCTTTGTCTCAACTTTTACTTGCATATTGATAAGAACTTTGAATGTTAAATATCATATTGCATATGGATATCATACATCACTTTGCATGTCAATTATAACTTTACATGTCAATATCTATTTGTATAATAATTCTAACTTAATGCAAAGTGATTGTTATTAAGTTTTTTGTTTGTTTTTTTTTTGTTTTTATGAAGGCAAAATTAAACTTTATCCTTCATAACGTCGTTTCTTCATTATTTAGTTTATAATGACATCATAGCTTTCTTAACACAATTCAATTTAATTGAATGAAAGTTCAATTGGGGAGGTACAAGATTAACGAGTCTTCACATGCGCTGTGTTGGTGTGTGTATGTTATAAAAATAAAATAATGCAAAGTTAATAACAAAGTGGTGAAGCAGCAGATATAGCAAAGAACTTCGTGCAACAAAGAAACGCAAAGTTGGTTTGCGAATGTATATAACGCGAAGGTTAGGTTGTACATGTATCAAAACTTAATTTACGGTGCTCCGATAACAACTCTGTAAATTAACAAATACGAATCGTGGATTTTATAAGTACGAAAGATTTAAAAAATAAATTTCATTCATCGCTTCTACTACTACATTTCCCAAGATAAAAATGTCATCTGATAAAGAGTTTGGAAATAACCATGCTAACAGTGGGCCAGCTAGATGTTTAGAGTTGACTTCCCAAGCACATGGTGAATTCACGGATGTTGCAGTTGGAGGTGCAAAAGAGGCAAGCACCGATTCTGAAGATGCCCAGGTGAAAAAAATGAAAGAAAGGAACCAAAGGATGGAAGAAGAAATTAAGGAATCTGAACTTCTCAACAAAATAATTATCACTCCAACCATTACATCAGCCACATCTGAAGTCGATGGACGATCCATATGGGTCGGCAACGTAGACTATGGGGCTACATTGAAGGGTATGAATAAACATTTTGAACAATGTGGTCTCATCAAGAGTACAAAAATTCTACGAGACAAATATAGCGGCAAACCTAAGGGCTTTGCATACATTGAATTTTTGGACGTTGTGTCTATTAAATTGGCCCTAAAACTGAATGAATCACTGTTTTGCGGAAGACAAATTAAAGTCACCGCGAAGAGAACCAACATACATGGTCTGTCAACTACAGACAGAAAACCGAGAGGGAGAGGTATAAGGTCAAGAGGTGGTCCAATGGCAGGAAGAGGTCGCTATTCAGTTACAGCACAGCACATCCCAAGGTTCGAATCATACGGGGAACAACAGCCACAGTACCCAGCCTACAGAGGCAGAGGAAGCAACAGGTCAAGAGGGGGATCTCGTTACAGACCCTATTGAAGAAACATTTCCTTCTTTGTAGATCTTCTCACCCTTTGTCAATAATGCGCTATGTGAAGGATGATGTCACCATTATAATTTCCTGATTTTTAGAAAGCTATGATGTCATTAATATTTATTTGTACCTAATATTTTATTAATACTTTAATATATTCTTTTCGTCATTATATTCTTTTTGTACTTTATATTTTTTTATTATATTTTTTCTGTCGTTACTAATGTTGTTGCTGTCATCTGATTATTTTCCTTGATACGCATTCTTTACATTGATATTAATTAAACTTTTTGTCAATTTGTCTGCCAATTATATTTTATCATCATCCTCATCATGATTATTATCATTATGATTATCATGTGCAGTCAGTAGCGGATCTATGGGAAATCGGGGAGGGCCATACGACCCCCGTTGTGAGCAATATTTGTATAAAAATCAGTAAAGTTCAAAAAAGTACAATAGAATATAGAAAAAAGTTATAAAGCAACCTTTTGCTAAAAAAAATAAAGTTGTTAATCACTAATTTTTGTTGTAGTGTCACGTGTAAAGCCGTCGGCAAACGAGTTAATTAAAAATTTTTATTTCTAACTACTGAAAATTTTATCATTACAATCATTTGTTGGAGATTATGTTTTTTTCTTTAATAATATTAGCATAAAAAAAGAGAAGTTATTGATTCAACAAAAAAAATTATCTCTAGAGGGAACTTAGAGCGGACTTTCATTCTAAAACACCCTCTCAAGCTGATGCTCGAGCAACTGTCCAGCTGGCTCCCTCCTGCCACCCCTTGCCTGCTCCTTCCTTCCACTCACTCCACCCCACCTTCATTCAGTCGTCAAAATGTTCGCTAAACAACGTGGACGCAATGATGGATGACAGGTTCCAATGCTTTCATCATGGCTTATGCGTTAAACTTAGCATCGTAAATATCATCATCATCATCACTACCGTCGTTATCATTATCATCACTATTGTGTTTCAACCATTGTCCCCCTCCCCATACGTGTGCATCGTTATTAACATTTCAGTTGTTTTTCATCATCATATCAGTTTGGAAAAGTTTCTCGATAACACATTCCAAAGTTTAACCATCTCAATCATTTCCAGTCAGATTCAAAAAACACTATCTTTATTTCCATCTTTATCAATATCATCATCATCTTCATCATTTCTAAGATTGTCATCGTCATCGTCATCATCGCAAATGCTGATAGATCCCCACTCATCGCATGCACTGCATACAAAACCATAACAGGTAAAGATGAGATAGATTCATCTCTATTCAACCAATTTACAGAAAGTAGTAACCCAAGAGGGCACCAGTACAAGCTTTTCAAAAAAAGGGTAGAAACAATAAAAGGAAGATTTTTCAGCTTGAAAGTTTTTGAACATTGAAACAAACTGGACGGCAAAACTGTAACAGCTTCTAGGACGCAGGTGTTTAAAGTCAGACTTGGAAGATTGAGATTTTAATTCCATATTATTAGTCAAAATCGATCCAGTGGTTCTCACACCGAACTATCTACTGAACAACTATACTCTTTGTTATGTTATGTTATATTGAGATGGTGGTTAATGGCTGGCTGCTAGATGATCATCTCGATGGATACGAACTTCATAATTCGATGTCTCATCAAACCAAATTATAGGCTTCACTTTACGTATTATTCAGACGGAGGTGTTTTATAACAACCTCTGTTATGAAGCAACCATCAAAAGCAACAACATAGCATAGCAAACTTTCAAACAATTTTTTAATTAAAACATTGTTGAGATAATCCAAAAAAAAGATTTGGTTACCGATAAGTTTTCCCATTTTCCAATTGAAAATCTGAACCAATCACCATTAATTTGTTTATAAAAAGTAATTCGAATATACTCACAATTGTAATTAGTATTAACACGATGACGAATTGTTTTTAAAATCAAATTTGTGTTAGCTTCTGTTCAGTTTGCGTTAACTTCACTTAAAATTACTGTTTAGTACGACTGAAAAGTGTTCGCAGCACTTAGGAGTGTCAAATTTTATTTATTTAGTTGCAAGGTTTTTATATACTTTTAAAATTTATTTGTCCATACTTGATAAAATAGCCATAAGTGTTATAAATGACTCTATAGAACTATCTCAAATAGGGAGGAACAGTCCCGAACTTTACCTTCTATGCCCCGCACTGTGTTCTGTGTCCGCGAGCCACGTGTCGGTCCGATTATTGCGCAACCAAGAACCAGAAGTGAAATATTGAAATAGCAATTTGACAATAAATTTACAAATTTGAGCAAAGGCAAATATTCATACACACAGAAGCACCGATTTCTTTGATGTTTCTAACACAAATACATCATTGAAACCATTCTATTAACTTCATTGCCATGCCAGTGACGGTTTATGATTCTTACCAAGCATATACAAAATTTCGTGTGCCAACATTTTAATTAGTTTAATTACGATATCGATGATGATTAGGGCAGTGCAAAAACATCGAAACACTGTGGCAACTGTATATATAAATTGGCACGTATGTTGATATTATTTCATCACAACCATCTTTCCGCCACATTCTTCTTCTTCAATTCACACGACTTGAAATTAACTGAAGCCAGTTCTGACATGTGATTTTCCTGGGAATGTTTTTTTCCTCCAACAAGTTTTACTTTGAAATTTTGTTGTTCACTTGGCCAAATACTCATGGCCAAAAATTTTTTTAAAGAGATTCAAACTCCGACAAATGCAGAAACTGCCTTTCAGCATTGTAAAGTTTATAAGGAAGCATAAAAGTAATGATGCCAAATGGCATCGGTATGCGGTAGAGGGCTAACATCGCTGACCACCATACCGCATGGTATGAAGGTTTCACTACAATTAATTTCATCTGCCGATCAATAATTATCAGGTTATTCTCGAATTTTTTAAAAATTGTTTCTTTACACAAAAATAAATGCACGTGAACTTCATGCAAGCAAGCTATGTTAAACCTCTAAAAGGCAATTTACGTTATAATAATTTATAAGTCAAAATGATGAATGGAAAAATTACGATGAGCATGATTTAAGCGAGAACCATTACGTTATCTTACAAATAAAATTCAGTGGGCTTTTAAAAATAATTCAGGATAATTTGTGAAATTTTGTTTGTAAATTTCAACAAGCTCATACATTAATTGCAATCATTCTAGACGTTTGTTCAACGTCTCCAACATGAATTCCTCATCATCAATCAACTTCTGACACACGCGTCGATTTTCTAAGATAAATATTTCATTTATTCCGACCAGTATATCAACATTCGGTTGGAAGAAGCAAGGCAGATTGCGATTCTTCAAACATGTCAATAATTCCTGCAACAAATCTATCAACCTCAAACCTAAATATTTCTCTGACCAAAGTTCATCGTTTGAAAATTTATGGCATACTTTCAAAAAAACATTTTTCATTTGATAAGATGAAAATAGGTAGAAATGTAAGTAGTGATCAATTATAGCCGTAATATATTTGAAAACTCTCATGAGATTTTTTTTCTCAGGAATGATCTGTAATATTTTGTTCTTTTCTAAAATGCTGAAAGATCTTCTCCAGGAATAGCCACGTTGAAAAAAAATGTGGTCAAATTTATCAGAGCATTTCGGAACGTAGTATTCCTCATTGTTCATTTTCAATGTAGGAACGATATCTATCGAGAATTTCAAAGCAGCATCCTCCTTCTTTTTTTTCTGAAAATGTAAAGTTTCACTGTTCATTGTTTGAATTTGTATATAAATTGATATTATTAAAAAGACCCGTGTTATCGCCCATCAAGACAAAAGTGGAAACATTGGACAAACATTTAATTGCACTGCACAACAAAATGTACGTCTATACCCCCAAGGCACCTTCAATTCATCTCCAACTACCAATTCAGCTACTTATCCAACCACCAATTCAGCCACCAATCTAATCACCAATTCCATTAGATAGTTGCACGTTGTTAACTTAATTTCATTATTTCAACACAGTTTTAATTAATCCTTTATTTTCCCTCTTTTTATTTTTCTAATGACGTTTCTTCAGCACGACAATTTCATTCTAATTTCTTATTTTTTTATCATTTTTATTTACATATTTAATTTTAATAATTATCTATTTTCCTTTTATTTTCTTATTATTTATGCATTTTATCGTACGTTCCACATTTTCTGCCTCTTACAGAAAAAGAATATTAAAGCATAAAAAATTAACCGGTATTGTGCCATCCATTTGAATTCCTGGATCATGATCTATAAGCTCTGTAGTTGCGTTCCAATGCTTTCGTCCATATTTTCTGCAGCACATTTCAATCTTTCCTCTAAAGAACTCCAGCAGAGAGGATGGAGCTAGGTAACGATTATTATGATCATCCTTGTCAGCAATTGATTGCATCGGCATGTTTGTTCCAGGTTTTACCATCATGAAACAGCGGTTGGCAATAGGAGATGGTACTTTCTTATTGTATTTAGTAATTTGATAAACTCAAGTTAAGAAATGAAAGCGAATGAAAATTATTTTACTAACCTAAAAATAAAATGGGCAAATAAATTATGAATTTGTTGGAGAATGCAGTTGTCTTGTAACCTCAATGATTTCTCCCACGTCCCAGACAAGCATGACATCCAATTCTATGGGATGCTGTTCGAATGGACGTACATTCACATTTAAACCTTCGGAAGTACTTCCGACGAATTCCGGAGTAACAAAAATGGAATCTGCTTTTAGTTCTTCAACAATGTCTCCTATAATGTGGTGAATTATATCTCTGGCTTCTTTCATTCGATCTGGCGGAATGGTGCATTCAGTTGCACAATTCTTAATCGCAGTTATGAAGCGCGAGCTTTCATGCCATCTTTTGTAGACTGAAATGTCAATCACTTTATTTAATAATATTCACATGTACAGTTACAAAATTGATGAAAGTAATAACTCTTTTAAAAGCATTAACATAAATCTGTAAAATCATTCTAAAACATTTGAAAAATATTTATTTCTGTCATTACCAGATAAATCATTGTTAATACAACTTACTGCTCTTGGTATTCACCATAATATCCTTCTTCTTAACTGAACTCTGAAATTCGCATCGTTGTTGTTTGGGCATTGCATTATTCACTTTTTCATACATCCAATTGATATCCGGTTTCAAACAACAAGGGTTGTAACAATTTTTAAGATACGTTAATAATTCCTTCAAAAAATCTAGCAATCTGGAACCAAAATAATTGATCAAACATTCATCATCAGCATGAAATTTGGAATATACCCTAGGAAGATTTTTTTTCACATAATGAAAGGCCATTTCAAATAAAATCGGATGTTTGATTTTAATATTATCGAAATCTGAAAAAAGTTGAGAGTAATTTAAAATCTTCCTCTCATCCATATGCTTGTAAATTTGAGTTTCTCTCCACGCTAGGTAGCTCCTGAGATTTAAAACGCCACGTCTCCTCCAGCTTAGAAAATCCATGATATCATCATTAAATCTTAACCTCCACGCTAGATTTCGTTCGATCATCCCTAGGCTGGGATGACAGATATAGCGATCATTGAAATTTAAAGCGAGATAAATATTTACAGAGAACTTCCAATCTGTTTCATTCTTTAAAATTAATATACTTACTTATTTATTAAATTTTCAAAATAAATTGATGTTATAAAGATTGAACCACCATTTTGACATCCATTTGAACGACTGAACCGTTATATCTTATTTTCGTTTTTCTGTAACAGAGCGTTCGTTCATATAAACCAACATAATTTCCAATCTTTTTCATAAAATTTTCTGCTAGAGATGATGCACATAGATAACGACCATCGGAACTTTTGATGTAAATAATGTGTCCATTGTTTGTTTTTGGTTCCAATTTTGTAGTCAATTTGTTCTATTGATAAATTACAAAATTTTAATTAAATTAAATGAATAGTAAGATTGAACATTTTTTTATTTTGATTCAAAATCATGAAAACAAAAGTTAAACCTTTTTTTGAATATCTCCTTCTATCAAAAAGCGAGATAAATAATGATGACCATCATCAGGCACGTCTCCATCATCTCTCATCACCAGGACAGTCTGACCGGGCAAAAAATTTTCCTAGAAAAAAAGCTATATTTAATGAAACTGTTACTATCCGAATTCCTCATGCAGATAAGGTTTTATTTCTTTTTTTTCATAAATCATCTTCAGTGCGGGTTTGGTTTAAACAGTTTATTTAAACAAAAAAAAATCTCAAATCTTTTCTCAAATCTCAAATCTGCACCACCGAGGCACTTTTCTACACCTCCACAGGCAAGCTAAACAAGCAAATTGACGGTGTACTCATGGGAACACCACTCGGTGTCCTGTTCACAAATTTCTTTTTAGAACATCTAAAAAGCAAAACATGCAGAGACAATCCGGAATTAAAAACAAACATTTATGCCAGATATGTTAACGATATCTTTGTCGAAAACGCTGATCCGGAACAAGTCAACCAACTACTAGCAACCCTGAACCAATCAAAATTTCACCATCGAGTTATAGTTACTAGCAATGGTTACAAAACATCATCCACTGAGAGGACCATTCAACAAAGACTACAACAAGATAGCAACATATTTAAAAACAACAACGACATAATCCTATATTACAGAAATTATATGCAAGACGTCCTCAAACAAATCATAAAAAGAAGTGTTACCAAAATCAATGATCCTAACAAAATAAAACTCAGGATATATTACAATAATTGTAAGACATCACAATTTGTCTTAAAAAAGAACTGCACTTTTAAAGGCGATTTTACTTTAAGCGTAATCAAGTAATATATGAATTTAAATACCCTATTGACGACTGTGCGCGTCAACAACATTCGTATATTGGTGTTAATACCACTTCATTATCAAGACGTCTTACGATGCATACACATACATCAAATCTCATTTGCAATCAACACATGCAAATAACCCGCCAAATTCTTGACAACAACACAAAAATAATTTATCAAAATACACAACACATCTAAAAATTGCAGAAGCTGTACTAATAAATATCAACATTATGACATCATTACTATCTCGACGCTTTATTGCTAACTTCAATAACAATGAAGAACAATGGAATGACAATTACAAAGATGAAGAGTACGACGCCAACTTTTACGAAACCAAACCTGCACTAAAGATGATTCATAAAAAATCGAAATAAGGCTATATCAGCATGATATATTCGGCTAAGGTTATATCTGCATGATATATTTGGATAGCAACAGTTTAATTAAATTTTCATAATGAACTTGGATAATTCTATTTTCAACAAATTGAACTATTTCCAAAAAATTTTAATAAGGAAAATTGAATAGATGAACTTTAAATTGATTAATGCTAAAAATTCGTTAGAATTCATACAATACTGCATAAAATATGGTCTCCTTCCAATTTAATTAATTATATATATATCAAATCAAATCAAATATCAAATATTGTGTTTATATAGCGCCAATTATAATTGCTTCTCATCAGCGCTCTCCTCGTAAGAAGCATGTTGAAAGCGAAGCCATCATCGGTTGAGATCACTAGGAGTTACCAAATAGGTATGTCTTTAGACGTTTTCTAAACTCGGCTAATGATAACCCGGATATACGTAGTTCGATAGGTAGGCTGTTCCAAAAAATAGGCCCAGCAACTGCAAAATCTCTATCTGCTGTTTTCAGATTCCGATCTCTAACATACAGCGTGTTTGAATCAGCAGACCTTAGACGCCCATGTGATGACATAGATGAAACTCGAATACACTTATCTTCTAAATATTTCGGAGCCAGACCATTTAAACTTTTAAATACCATTACACCCAACTTGAACATGATTCTTTGTTTTACACGCAGCCAATGCAACTCCTTTAGAATTGGTGATCAAATTTTAATTTGCGATATATTATTCTAGCAGCCTGATTCTGAACCATCTGAAGTTTAGACAACAGTTTATCAGCTATGCCATATAAAAGACTGTTACAATAATCCAATCTAGAGTTGACAAAAGCATGTACTAATAGAGTCATTGTATCTCTATCTACCGATTTTGTGACTTGACGTAATTGACGTATGGTATGAAGAATTTATATAGCACCCCTCTATGTAAAACTCAGAGGCGCTGTTCGAGAAGCTGCCGGTGAAAAAGTCGCTTCCATGTTTAAGTCGTTTTCGGAACATGTCTCTTTCATCCATACTATCAACGACATCATCGGGCAGTTTATTCCAAACCTCCGCTGCAGCCACGGAGAAACGACGCCGTCCATAATTTTCTGTCCTGAACCTAGGAACAACGAGTTTCTTTTTGGCAGAGGATCTGAGTTTTTACCCCCCGGAAGCCGTAGGGACAGGCACGATCAGCTGTTGAAAGTATCGAGGACCAAGCCCCATCAAACTGTCTCTTGTAAACATTGCTATTCTGAATTCGATTCTATAACAAACTGGCAACCAGTGAAGCTCATTTCGCATATATGATAAAACAGATTCATATTTTGTTACACCAGCAATTATTCTTGCAGCAGTGTTCAGAATAGACTGTATGCAGTTTTGAAGATACAAGCTTGTACCATAGAGGTAGTTGGAACATACATTTTTTAACCAATAGACTGACTTGTGGACCCATTGTCATACGGAAGTCCATCACAATTCCCAAATTGGTAACCGTTTTACTGAAACTTATATCAGTCATGCTGATGTTAATCGATGAAGGTTCAACCGCTGACGTTTGTAGCCATGTACCAGCCAACATGAACTGAGTCTTAGTCTGATTCAACTTTAGCCTACTTTGACCCAGCCACGAGTCGACATCAGATATAGTTTTTGTCAGTTTCTCTTATACGGTAGGCATCTCATCTGGGAACATGAAACGCAAATCTGCATGTCATCTGCGTACCCATGGCAATAATAACCATCTTTATTCAGTAAATCCAATATCTCTGCAACGTACAAATTAAAAAGAATCGGTCCAAAAACATATATATATATATATATATATATATATATATATATATATATATATATATATATATATTTCGAAAATTCAACACTACTTTCAACATTGTTCAACTTTTTTATATTTCTTTTTAATTTATTAATTTAAAAGACTGTTAATAAATTAAAAAGAAATATAAAAAAGTTGAACAAAGTAGTGTTGAATTTGTGAAATGTTGCGTTAACAACAGTCTGTTACCAATTTACCAATATATATATATATATATATATATATATATATATATATATATACAAATTTTACAAAAAAAAACGCGAGGCGTAAGATTTTCATTAAAAAACAAGCGTGTGATTTATCTTCATCATTTTTAGACTTTAATATATAACTCTCATTATTGTTATTGAATTTTTAAAATGCACAGATTTGAAAATTTTCCTTGTTTGGTAGCCAGCTATCGACATTCTGCCACTGGCGTCTGTCGCTGAACCTCCTCCCCATGCCCATGATTAAAAAATATAAATTTTTTAAACTTCACGAATTAAGAATTGAAAACAAATTTGTGGAAGAAAGTTCTCAAATTGGATAATTTTCTAACCTCAGTAAATTTGTTTATGCGCATGTTAAGCACGATGTCTAACTCAATGTTGGCCTCTCCATCTGGATTTCCATTCACTTTTAAACCTTCGGTGGCAATTTCCATATGTTCCGGGTATACGTAAATTGAATCTGTTTCTAGTTTTTTAATAATTTCGTCAATCATGTGATAAGTTGTTTCTGTTCCTTCACCGAGTTTTTCATGTTGAGTGGAGTATTTTTTTGCAAGGTTTTCCATTGCAGCATGGAAGCTCGAACATGTATACAAACTTTTGCAGCCTGTGAAAATTCAATTACGTTAATCAGCGAGATATTTGAACGCAGTAAATAAAAATGTGCACACAAATGCTTGTATAATATAGCTATAATCTAATTTTGAAGCACTATGATAAAGGAGTGTATAATTAGAAGTTGCCGAAATGAATGACTGACAATTAATTTCTTTTGTGCGTGTAGGGTTAGTTGAAAGTTGTCAACAATTTGTAATCTTATCAAACATTTTAACACTATCGTATAATTTGCTAAAAAAATGTGTAAATTTATTTAAATTTATTTATATAATGTAAAGAAATTTTTTTTTAATATTATTTTAACTATATCAAGTTAATTAATGACTGACAATTGCTGTGATCATCTGGAAGATGGGAACATTTTCTTTTCCTGCTTTTAGGCCGTTGTGACGGATTTTTCGCTGCAGCCTGCATATTTTTAACTGTCAAACATTTCAACACTGTCAAATAAGTTGCAAAAAAAAACAAAAAAGATGATTTTTTTGAAGTTATTTAATTAATACCAAAATTTATTATTAATATTATTAAATTAAATTAGGTTAAATTTAATTAAAATAAGTTAAACTAAATTAAATGAAGGACTTACAATTATTTTCTTTCAGAAGATTATTTTCACTTTTTGGAAGATATGAATGAAGTTAGCTCTTCCTGCTTTTCAGCAATTTCAATGTTTATAGAATTATTTTATTAGAATTTATTATTATTTATATGGCCCGTATATTTTTAATTGTTAAAAGTAAATTTATCTATTATAAGGGGCTTCTTAAAAATTATGGAAATAAATCATTTCAAATATAAAAACTTTGAGTATGAACTAAGCTTAGGCTTTGCAAATTATTCTATTATTTGCTAGTTATATTAAATTTCAAATAACAAAGTCCAATCCATACATTCAAGTGGTTTTCCCAAACCTTTCAATCTCAAGTTGATAATAACTTGATACAGAAAGAAATAATCATAGCTACTTAAAATAGCTACTTATACAATATTCTTCATTCTATATACTTTTACTTAGTTTCATTTTATATATAAATGTTTATACTCATTTTTGTATTGCTATATGGGCTTCATTGAAAACCTCTTCAAATTTAAGAATAGCAAAGTCCAATTCATACATACAATTATCGGTGTACGTGTTAATAGCATAGCACCATAACTGAAGATATTTTTCAGTTTATTCGTTAAATTCAATTATAGCATAAAATAAATGTTAACAACGTCTTACATAAATTTTAAGTCTAAAATTCGTCAAGTGTTTTTCCCAAAATTTTCTATTTCAAATTAATTCTTTCAGAACATCTGATTCTAATTTTTCTCCTCATAACTTTACTAAATTTACTACTAAATCTTTTTCAGTAATTACTCCAATAAATCTTCTAGAACTTACTAAAATTATTAATTCTATGTCGTTTACAACCTGATCTACTTTCTTCTAATTAACGTAAAGAATTTTTTTCAATTTTTATCCTATCATTCTCAAATTAGTTAATTTATCACTTTCCACCTCCAAATTTCCTGTTTCTAATAATAATTCTATTGTTATTTCTATTCTTGAAAACTCATCCTTAGATCCTACCTTATAGACCTATTACTAATATTACTTTCATCTCTAAAATAATAGAAAAAGTAGTTTTTAATCAATTGTCATCTTATTTAAAATCTAACTCCTCGCTTCTTGTATCTCAATCTGGTTTCAGACCTGCTAACAGTACTGAAACTTTTTTACTCATAATACTTAATGATATTCTTCTCTCTAATGACAATAGTAATCTTACTTTACTTCTTGCTTTTGACTTTTTCTCTGCTTTTGAAACTGTTGATCATACTATTCTCTTGAGGCTGCTAGAGCTTTCTTTTAATATTACTGATTCTTGTCTATTTTTGTCATTTAATATTATTGATTCTTGTCTATCTTGGTTTTTTTTTATCTCTGTAATTGTTTTTCTTCTGTTGTTTTCAATAATTCTACTTCAAACTCCTTCACTCTTATTTTTCTGGGTACCTCAGCGTTATCTCCTTGGCCCTCTTTTATTTATACTCTATACCGCTTAACTACATCGTATTATTAATAATTTTTTTCTCACTACTCAACTATATGCTGATGATTCTTAAATTTATATTTTTTCCTTCATCTAACCTCAATAGTGTTCTTCATAATCTATCACTATGTCTTTTTCAATTATCGTTTGGTCTGACTAAATGTGTCTTAAACTTAATCCTTCTAAATTTAAATTAATTTGTTTTAATAAATCTAAACACTCTATTACTATTACTCCTATTATCTTGCCTGATTCTAAACCTCTTGATGATTCTTACAAGTTTCGTAATCTAAGCTTTATCTTTGATTAATAATGTTGCTAAAAGTTCTTACTTCAATCTACATGGAATAAAAAAACTTTTGCTTTTTTTTGATGATCATACTTTTCTCCTTCTTCTTACTTCGTCAGTCTTATCTAGGATTGATTACTGTAACTTGCTCTACTATGGTCTTCCTGATTCTGTACTCTATCTTTTATGTAAAGCTTTCAACTATGCTGCTCGTCTAGTTGCTCGTGCCTCTTTTTTTTCATATATCTCCATATCTTGTTCTTTTGCACTGGCTACCTATAAAATATAGTTTAATTTTTTAAATTTGCACATTTATGTTTAAGCCTCTATCTATATTATTAATATTTCCTGAGTACTTATCAGATATTCTGTTTCTAATAACCTAAATACTTTTCTAACTTAGCAATCGTCGATTCAAAGCAATTACCTGAACACAGATTTCAATAGTCAATGTTTCACAAATCTTTTTCAAAAAGATTTAATAAAACTATTATTGTAATAAATTATACAAGAAAAAATACTCATGTTGGTTATTTCACTATGGTCGCAGACAAACTGAAACAAGCAATTTCTATCGGGACAATCCCATTATCTTCTGACACCGGCTGATAATGACAAATAACAAACTAGTTGATCAACAGATCATTTTTTAGTGAATTTTAAATAAAAACAACTGAACTGATTCTAACTAGACCAATTACGAAGTACTTTACGTTTATTATTCTAACAAACTTTAGTGCATTAATTTTACGACTCGATTTATGGTTTTAATTGGTTAAATAGCGCGAGCAAGGGAAAATTTAAATAAAAGTTTAGAAAAAAATTGATTGATCATAGGTTGATATCTTAACTTCAAATTTATTTCTCTTTTTCACGTTACGGGTTTGTTTTTGTTTTGTTTGCACACACACTCGGTGAACAAAAACAAACATGGGGCTATGATTTGAAACTATATATATCAAACAGGCATGCACGCATTGCACGTTATTTCCAATATTTTCAACATTTTATTTATTCCCTATTTTTTTGTTCAACGGTTTTTTTCCCGAACGCTGAAGTTGTATCATAGTTGAAAAACCGTGCACACCCATGCAATATATTTTCAGCATGAATTCGAAAAATAAGTTTATTTTGAATTTTAATAAACTAAACGTTCACCAAAAAACTTTAGTGAGAAAAATCGAAAAAACGAACTACAAACATATTAACGCCAAACATTCGGTAGAATTTATAAAATATTGTAAAAATACATGCAATGCTATACGATGCTATAAATATAGCTATAATCTGATTCTGAAGCACTATGATAAAGAAGAGTATAATTAAAAGTTGCCTAAATGAACGACTGACAATTAATTTCTTTTGTGCATGTAGTATCGGTCCGTTGACATTGTCAACAATTTGTAATCTTATCAAACATTTCAACACTATCATATAAAATTATAAATTGTAAAATATATGTGTAAATTTATTTGAAATTATTAAATAATGTAAACAAATTTATATTCAACATTATTTTGATCAAATCAAGTTAAATGAATGACAGACAATTACTGCGATCCTCTGGAAGAGGAAAACAAAAATATAAAATAAAATTTATATTAAACGTCCAACAAATAAAGACAAGACAACAAACTACTCTTATAAACAGTTATACTATATATAAAAGTAGTATATAATAATAAGAGTCAATAGTATTTATTTTTAATCTGTATATACATTTGATGACTAATACAAAGCGTTTTGGTGATAGTAATATTTTGTATATAGTGTATATAAATATATATTATATACATGTATATATATATATATAATATATATATATATACATTATATACATGTATATATATATATATATATATATATATATATATATATATATATATATATATATATATATATATATATTCATATGTATATCTATATGTGTATGTATTGTATATATATAATAATAATAACTATCCAAATTAAAATAACAAAGTAGGTACTATTTTAAATTCGATATCACAGGTTTTTCCAACCTTTCAATTTTGAACTAGCTTCGAATTTAAGCAGATGTCCAATTTTTTTTTCAATCAAAACCGTTTTGATTTATCTTCTATTTTTTCATTATAACCTTCTTTATTAATTATTATAACATTAACTTATGTATTATTTATAAATAATAATTAATTACTAACATTAAATTACCTAATCATAAATATTATTATTTATCAAAATATATACATATGTTTATTGTCATTACCATATAGGTTAATTTTAAAATTGACACTAATAAAAAGTTGAATATAAAAAAATTTCCATCATTAAATTACAATTTGAATGGCCCACAAATTGATGAAAATATTTCCATTGGCTACATAAGATTTGAACTATACAACTTGAAGCTGGCCTAGAGTTGTAAGAGTTGTGCTGTGTTAAAACAATGTACAAAAATAAATTATATAAAAATAATTCATTAAAAAATTTAAAATCTTTTGTTCATAGAACTCCATTTCTATCACATGCGGTAGCTAGATTTTGCAACTGACATCTCGTTTGTTGAATTTCTTCGCCAGATGGACGTGGCGTTTCTACGATGCGAATCTCATACTCATCTGATATATCAGTTAATGATGTTGAAACCAGATGTTGAAACTATCATTTGGGTAGACGAAGTACTTGGACTACAGACGGATTTTTTCATAAAATCATCATAATTTCGTTTCCTTGCATTGAAAAAATAAAAAATATTTTCATGTTAGAAGTACAAATACGAATTTTTTAATGAAATACCTTACGTTTCAGATGTAATTCTAATAACCTTATTGCACCGTTGTTCAGACCAGTATTTGCATTAGTTCCATCAGCACCAATAGCAAGTACATTACGTAGTGATTTTTCGTTATCTTGCAGTTTTGATAGATATAGATGATCCAGTTGAAGGAGAAACGTGAACTAGGTAAACCGTATTTGACTCTATAAGTAACGTAATATGTTCTTCAACAAAAAAATTTTTGCTACAAATTAAGGACGTACAAAGAGTTTTGTCTTTTCTTCCATCAAAGAAAATTGACTTTGGACCTGCAGCAGCTAGAGTTACCTTTGCTTCATACGTTAATATGACTCGAAGCTGTCGCCTTTGTCGTCACAGCTATGAGCGGTCAATAAGCTGTTTTGTCCTTTTTTTTATTACTCCATAGTCTGTGATGACAGCTGTAGCTATAGCAGCTCGTGCAACATCAGATACGCTATACCATAATATTGCCATTATTAATTTTCTTCATATTAATCCATAAAATAGTATGCGTCGTTATTAATTCGCTGTATTTTTATAATTTGTAAAATGACTAGTAATAAATATAACTATTACTGTAATCATTAATTATAAATTTAAATTAAAATTAATTTATCTACTAAAAATTATTTACATTGTATAAAAAGCACAATATTAGCTAAAAATGCCAATCTTGCTTCATCTGGCGGCCAAGGAAGATGAGTCTTGATATGCGCGTGTATATGTGTTTGTATGTGTATGTGTGTGTGTGGTGTGTGTTTGTATGTGTGTGTTAAAATCGTGTTTTTTATTCATTCGACGATGATATCAAGACATGGTTTTTCACAATTAATCTCGACTTTATTTTTCTTATCAGTTCTAGAAAACAAAATTACAATGCATTATTTCACGATTTCAAATAAGAAAAAAAGGATAAAATAGAAAAATTAACGAGTAAACAAAATGTGACTTTTTCACTAAAACAGTCATCTGAGTGATATTGAAAAATTAAAAATCATTATTTAATAATAAAAGTAAAATAAACCACATCAGCCAGAACCAAACATTAACGTGTTACTATGGTTCAATCCCCTTAAGAAGTTTATAAATACCCCATTCAATAGCGGCCCCATCGTAGTAAATAGCAAATTCATCACAGTCCTGTACTTCATGGAAAGATTTCGCAATGTGTGGTTGCCTTTTTTAAAATCTCAATTTCCTTTTTCAAATAGTCAGCGTTATTTTGACTCTCAGCATCATCCGAGGACTCATCCAATTGGGATTTACAGGGGGAACCGTTGAGGAAATTGGTAACTTTTGTGCGATGTGTATCGTATGGACTGCCATCCTCATCACGTTTTCTTTTGTAGTAATTAGATGATTGATTGTTATAGGATTGTTCGTTTTTACCTTTTGCCATATAACTTTCTTGAAAGCGTTTTCTTTTTATTCCTTGTTTGTAAGAAGTTCTTTGGTAAAAATTAGAGGATTTTTCGTCTCGTGAATGTGTCGCATATTTTCCCCGAGAATCATGTCGATTTCTATTTGCAGATGAATAGTAATAATCAGCCCGGTCGTCTTCTCTATGACGTTCACTGGGTCGAGATTGATAACAATTAACTCTTCTTTTCGTTGTTCGAAACCTGGATTTTCTTCCTTCATAATCAAAGTCACGGCAGTCACAGTAAGGTGATCTTGATCGTCTTCGGCTGTATTCATCGTCGCTGGAGGAGGAATCGTAACGAGATTGTCTTCGATTCCTCGATCTGGATCTTCTTCCTTCATAGCTATTGTTATATCTGGCGCTGTCAGAATACATGATGAGCTATATTTTGTTGAATAATGTTTGTCAATATTGAAAATCACTGTTCCAATCTGTAGGCTACTAAGAGATTATTTAGACTACGATGTTCGTCGATGTTAATAATCTCTGGCAAAACTTATAGGTTACAATGATATTTCTTAGTTACGCAAGGGTGTATTAAAGTTATACTTTTAAAAAATCATCTCCAATCTCTTCTTATATACCTTTCTGGTTCTAGATAAATAAAAAGCTTTTTGTTGAAATATAAACATTGTTAACAATCAAAGTTAACTTTAATGCGACACACAGTTAACTTTTATGTCAAAGTTAACTTTGTGTGATACTTTGTTTGACACGCAAAGTTTATTGGGCTCGATGTCTTTTGATGATTAATTAAAGAGAATACATAATTGTATCAATATTAACGAGATTGCCTAATTATATAAAAATTCACGATCTAATTTTTATCACTTTAATTTTTTATCTGATAATAAAGTTAGTAAGTTTCTTTTAAAGTGAACTAAAAAAGTAATTAATCATCACAATTTATTTTAAAGTAAATAAAAGATTCATTAATTGACGAGTCTTCATTGATCCTGACGGAGAAACTCAACTAATTAAACTTAGCAATTAACCAATTAAAACCATAAATCGAGTTGTAAAAATAATGCATTAAAGTTTGTTAGAATAATAAAGGTAAAGTACCTCGTAATTGGTCTAGTTAGAATCAGTTCCGTTGTTTCTATTTAAAATTCACTAAAAATGATCTGTTGATCAATTAGTTTGTTATTTGTCATTATCTGCCGATGTCAGAAGATAATGGGATTGTCCCTATAGAAATTGCTTATTTCATTTTGTCTGCGACCAACAGTTAAATAACCAGCATGAGTATTTTTTCATTTTTTCTTGTATAATTTATTACAATAATAGTTTTATTAAATCTTTTTGAAAAAGATTTGTGAAACATTGACTATTGAAATCTGTGTTCAGGTAATTGTCCAAGTTCTCCATAAACTGCTTTAAATCGGCGATTGCTAAGCTAGAAAAGTATTCACAACAAAAACATTCTGTGATAATACATTCATATTTAATAGTGTTTATATAATTTGAACAAATGATAAATAAAACTAAAAGTTTGTTGGAAAATCTAAAATTATTTAAAAAACGACAATACTTTTTTAAAATATATCATGAAATCAGTGTCGGAGTAGGGGCTCGGAGTTGCTGGCAACTCTTTTCTGGTGACGCAATCAGTCGGTCGGTCAGTCAGTCAACCAGCCAACCAATTCAACAATCAATCTAACAATCAACCAACCAACCAAACAACCAACCAAACAAACAATCAAACAAACAAACATACAAACAAACAAACAATCAACCAAACAATCAATCAATCAAACAACAAACCAACCAACCAACCAACCAACCAACCAACCAACCAACCAACCAACCAAGCAATCAACCAATCAATCAATCAATCAATCAATCAATCAATCAATCAATCAATCAATCAATCAATCAATCAATCAATCAATCAATCAATCAATCAATCAATCAATCAATCAATCAATCAATCAATCAATCAATCAATCACTCAATCAATCAATCAATCAACCAACCAATCATTCATTCAATCAATTTTCTTTTTTTTATCCGTTATTCTGGGA